TTATTCTGAATAATATTAAAGGATTGAGGGTAAATGTCTTGCCTCTAAATTGACAATAACAAAATATTTTAATCCAAAATTATTTATCCATTTGATTTTCATAATTGGGTAAAATCAAATTATGATTGGTGTGGGTGAGATCATAGCTCATCCACACCAAAGTGGCACACTATGCAAATGATACTTCAAAATACACTTTTAAGACATGGTATCCAATATACTGTGAAGAATAAAATTTTTCTGTGCCCCATTATTTATATGAACCAATAATATATGTGACTAAGATCCTTCTGGGTTAAGTCAGTATTTGAGAGTTGCTTCTTCATTAAAACAAAAGCAGACACAGAGAGAGAGAGAGAGAGAGAGAGAGAGAGAGAGAGAGAGACACACACACACACACGCACACACACACAGAGTAATGACTCACTACAGGAACACAATAGAAATTTTTAAAACTTACCTCTAAAGGAGTGTCGATGGATTCTACATTAAGCATGTGATATCTTTGTAATTATGGGAAATTTGTAAAAAATATAGAATATATTGAATATCCAAGTCATCAATTAATCAGAGATCAGAGTTAAGTGTGGAACAATAAAGGGAAGGATACACCTTTTTCTCCTACTCTATTTTCTCATCCCTATCATTAAGGTACTGTTTATGATACGTGGTATGCCTTAATTGTATATGGATTAAAAAATGGTTAAAATTCACTGAATAGAAATAAAAGACTATTGTATTTAAATGAATGGGAGAGCTAATACATACTTACTGAACAACTACCATGTAACAGGTTCACAGTTAGCTATTTATTACAGATGAATACAGTAGAGCCCTTACCATTTCGAGGAACTCACAACAAAATGTAGGAAACTGAAATTGATTCTGAAATGGAGGGTAGGGGGGATAGACAGATTAAGTGGAGAATTTTAGATTAATAGAAAAGGTTAAAAAAGCATCTGAAATGGGCTTCACAGAACAAATAGATTTTAATACTGACAGACAACACACAATATCAAGCACTTTACAACTACCTTGACTTCATCTCCCAATTCCTCTAGTTAACTATGGACAATGAAAAGAATTCTCTCTGTAATATGTGGTTCCAAAATGAACAAAGACCTTAAAAGTACTTTAAAATTAAAGAAATAATAATAATTGTAAGAATGGATATGAATTATCTAATGAAATGGGGGATAATAATTATTTCAATTTTCTCGTAAGATAAACCATGCATAAAAACATTCAGCTTGCATCAGAACACCTCAAAATCTGTTTAAATCTAGTGCTTGAAGCCAAAATAGAAGGGAAATAAGTGAAAAATTAAATTTACCTGTCACCTTCTTAAACTCAAGTGATAATCATGATGAACTGGTTAGCTGTTAAGAGCTTGTAACAATTTTACAATAAAAGTATTGAGTTGGCCAAAAACTCCGGTATGTTTTTTCCATAAAATAAAAGACATTGTTCATTTTTATCAGTAACTTTACTGATTTGGATACTTTGAGTATGGCGGGTATCTCCCACATAGTAGAACACTGAATTTCTCAATTAATGCCTCGATTTGATCAATGTCAACTTCACCTGGTCTAGCATCATCCAGCAAGAAATCTCCAGCACAAAACTTCGTAAACCACTTAACATGTCCATTTGATCAGTCACAGCACTTTCTCCATACAATGCACAAATCTTTTTTTGCGTTTCACGTATAAAGGACCCATGGACAAAGCCAAAGTGGGGAAAGATTGAGGGAGGGTGTTAGGGGTGGGGCAGGGGAAAGAGGTGGCGGGAAAATTTTTACCTTTCCTGAAATAATAAAGCATAATACGCATGAAATGTGTATTTTCTTCCATCTTCAATATTAAAATGGCTACACAAAAATTCACTCATATTGATGTTTTTTCTTTTAATGGATGCTGATATGACAGCTGTCACAATACAATCTAACAAAATTGTTTTGAGTGAAGTTAGACAACTAAGAGCTACTAGAGCCATCTTACAGGGAAAAAAAGAATGAATTTTTTGGCCAACCTAATATGTTTTAGAAACAAAGAGAATGCTGGAAGTCATTTAATTTTTTAGAAAATATTATTTTGTCACATTCAAAACAATCTACTGGCAAAAGTAATCCTTTAGAAAACTGAATTCTATGATGAAGTAAGTCACTTCAATTAATGAAGTACAGAAGTAGTCTTTTAATAACCCTAAAGAATTTTATAGATTTTTTTATTCTTTTTTAAAATAAAAGAGCTTTAAAATATATCTGCAGATTACTCAATCTTTTTTCAATAAATCTTTTTCAGATTCACTGAGCATTCCCCTACCCCAAATTTTTACTGAGTCAGTAAACCCCCACAAATTACTCTCTGGTAAGAAAAGACCTTACAATTACTTCAAATAAATAATTTTAAATGATTATAAGAATAGATAAGAATTACCTAATAAAACAGGGGAATAACAGAAAGATTTTATTTTTTTTTTTTAGAAACATGAACCATGCATCACAAGAACATTCAGCTTACATCAAGACATCTCAAAATCTGTTTAAATCTAATGCTTAATGCTAAAATGGAAGGGTAAAAATTGAAAAATTAAATTTACCTGTCACATTCTGGACTCAAATAATCAGAATTCCTTATTTACCTATTACTATTACATATTAATAAATTCATAAAGATAGATGTTCCTTGAAGTATTAAATAAGATATAAGATATAAATTATGGTATCTTAAGTTAAGCTACAAAGGCATGAAAAGACAATTAGCATGCACAATTAGAAATAAACATATATTCACGCAAAATAATTTAAAATTTTCTTAGTTTAATTTAAAATATTATCCAACACAACCATGTGTCCAGTCCACATTTCTACTCTCTATAACAAAATTTAGATGCATATGTAAACGACTCTTATTCATACCTGTACTAGTAATTTGTGTTAGTGAAAATGAAAACAGCAAGGCACATTAAGTAATTAAGATTAGAAAGAAAATTTGATTGAAATAAGCCAGGGGGTGAAAGACAAATATCATATAATCTCACTTATAAGTGGAGCCTAATCAACAAAACAGACAAACAAGGAAAATATAACCAGCAACATTGAAAGAAAAAAGAAACCGACAGTGGTGTGAGGGAAGAGGGTGGGGGGTAATGGGGAAGGGAACAGGAAGGGTCAAATCAAGGAACATGTATAAAGGACACATGGACAAAGCCAAAGTGGGGAAAGATTGAGAAAGGGAGGTAGCGGTAGGTGGGGCAGGGGAAAGTGGTGGTGGGAAAATGGAGACAAATGTATTTGAACAATTAAAAAAAACAATAGCATCAAAAGAATAAACTACTTAGGAATAAATTTATAAAAGAAAAAGAAAAAAAGAAAATTTGAGAGCTGGGAATCAAGTCAAAGCCACCATCATTCTTTTCCTTTAAATCTCAGGTGATGTTCACTGCAGCATGTTTTTGGGCAGCAAAACACTGGAAATTTTTGTCTTTTAATAAAGGACTTCTTTAAATCATAGAATAGTATACAGTCTGTAATAAGAAATAAGCTAGTATACACATGTTCACATATATACACACCATATAAATGTGTGTACATATGGCCCTCAATTAAAATGGATATATATATAACAGACAAGAATGCCTATAATATACTATGGGGAAAAAAGATATGCCACAGAATACTATGTATAATATGATTCCTTCATGAAAAACAAGAGACATAATTTGCTTATACATATATGCATAAACAATAAACTGCTAACAGGGAAAGGACTTTGGCACTTGCATTTTTCATAATAAGCATGTGTAAGCTTCAGAAATATACAGTAGGTTCTCAACAGCCTACAGTTAGTTTTCTTATTATGGCTTTTTTAAACATAAAATAATGTGATATAAAATTTGTGTTGTTTGGAAATGACTCCTAAAATCTTGATTTACTCAGGTAAATTCTGCAAAATATAATTAAAAACAAACATTTCCCAGTTCAAAGAATTTTAGTAAATGTTTTCAAAATTTAACACTCAACAAACCCCCAAACTGCGATGTTTAATTTTTTTTAACAGGGTCAGCAAACGTCTTCTGTAAGACAGTAAATATTTTAGGTTTTGTAGACATACATGGACTCTGTGCATATTCTTTTTTTTTTTTTAAAAAAACAGCTCTAGTATTTTTTTTTAACATTCTTAGCTCAGATCCACAAAAAACAGGCTGCAGACTATATTTGCCTTGCTCACCACAGTTTACCAACCACTGATTTATAACAACAAACAAGCATCTGGAAATCTGATACTTAAATAAAATACACCAAAAGCATAAGAGATCACAATAGAGTCAGTTTTATTCTTCATTAAATAAAGTAAGGTTGTATTATAGCAATTAAAATTACAAGTTGATAAAGTCTATTAATATGCTAGGTATTAATCAAATAATGGGAAAACACAGTAAATGGTATTTCAAGCATTTGTTATTATATAACCATGATAATGCGTACACCTGCAAAGCACATATATCCACTTTTAAAAGTCAGTTGAAACTGAAATACTACACATCAAAGCTCAAATCTCCTTTTCTAATAATTAAAACCACTGACTTATTTAAATAATCAAAACTAGTTAGTCATTTGTTTTAGATGTCATCAATCCTGGAAAATTAAGAACCGAATTTAAAGGCTAGTAATAATTACTAGGTTTTAGTTTTTTAATTTGTAAGGGTTATAATAAAATATTAATCAACAATCAAAAATATACAAGTTTATATTTGAAAATGTTTTAATATATACTAAGTCAGAAACCATCACTAAAAACTTGATTATACTTTTTTCTTTGTCGAAAAGATAGCTGTTATACATTTGATTCTATCTAAAATTGAAAGATTATTATCATCCGGATGCCATTACCAAATGTAAAATTTCACTTTATATAATAAACTGGGTCAAATTAAAACTCTAAAATGAAAATGTATCCCCCAAAAGTAACCAAATAACCATTATAGAATAATCTTACCTAGACTGGTGGGTTTTATCAGTTCATCCAGTAAATCATAAAATGGTAATTTCTGAAGTTTTATATCCGGATGGACTGGGTGAAGAGCTGATGTAAGGTGTGGGAGTTCCAGTTCATGTTTAGGTCCCAGAAGAGAAACAGGGAGTAATGGTGATGATGCAGGGTGACCATCATAAGTGAGTTGTGGAATGGTAGATGGAGACAAAGTTGCTGGCATAGGACCTGAATGTACGCTGGGGATGGACAAGTCCGCAGGCGTCATGATTTTCTGGGGGAACCTCCGCCTATAGAGTTCTTTAATTTTCATTTGTACAGCAGGACTGCAGCCAGCCTTTAGCAAATGCAGGGCTTTCGTGAGAAGTTCGTGTTTGCGTCCGTGCTTGTTTCTCCCAGCGTAGCCCAACAGTACTTGAAGTTCAGAAACTCTAAGGCTCATAACCATTTGCTTAGAGATAAAACAGAAATGTTAAACATTAGTATTCCAAGAATATAATTTACAATATTAAACAATACTTGATTATACCATTTTTTCTTTATCATTTGCTCAGAGAACAATTCATTTACTATCAATTCTAGGTATTTCAAATTTAGTTTAATCACTTAAGTAATCAAAGAAAATTAATATTAATAAATTCACTGACTTCTACCCAGGGCTATGAAAGATTAACCACATCTCACCCCATCCCACTGTTTTGATGAAATTGTCAAGTATTTATCAAGCACTCACTGAGTCTCCAGGAGAATTCCTAGTACTATATGGATGGCAAAAGATAATAATGAGTCCTCAAGAACATTTGTTTTCTTGGGGGAAAACTGTTAAGTACATATGAAACACATCAACAGCCCACCTCAAACACCAGATGTATGCAGGATATAAATAACATCAAGTACTACATTGTATAATAATTCTGGAATTTGTAGGACTTAAACAAGACCTTTTCTGAACCATGATATGCCAGATACTTTGATATTTACATATTGGTTGTCACTAAATTGTTCCAACTCCACAAGGTGCTAACCTTCTTTTTTTAAATATGAAGAAACTAGTTGAGAAAGGTTAAATAACTTACCTAAGGCCACAGAGCCACTAAGTAGCAGTCAGGACTCGAAGCCAGTTAATGTATGATTCTAAAGCCCATGCTCTTTCCACTAAACCGTTAGGAAAAGGATGGAGCTGGAAACATTATTGAGGCACTCCCCAGCAAGGCTAGACAAAAAAGTCCAGGAATTCAATCCACATGCCATAACAGGTAAGACTAAAGTAAAGAAATCTGTTTTACTTTGTTTAACGCTGTGTTCTCAAACTGATTTAGTCACTGTTTTTCTTTTTCTCCCCAACTACTAAGAAAGGGACTGTCAACAGGAAATGTCTATCTATACCAATCCTCTCATTTTAAAGTAGGGTAAAATGAAATCCATAAAGAAGAAATGGCTTACCCAAGATCACACATCTATTAATAGCAAAATCCTGACTTTACCACCACTGACAGGGTGTAGGTGTTAGGATACAAGACACATGTAAGCTTACCATTTACTATTTCCCCAACTGTGTTATGCCCTCACTTCATACTAAAATACCAATACATAAAGGCTAAACTGCCTTCCTTAATTCCCCACCAGTCCCTGAGATGACAGCCAATCCTCTAGTTCTTTGCATTGCAAAACAGTTAAAGAAAAAAGTAAAATAGAAAAAGAGTATATAAAGAGTTTTATATGCAATATAGCTGGTTAATCAAAAAATTATGAGCCCTCCCCCTACTTCTCTGGCCTCCAAAATGCTCTGTTTCTTCAAAGTCCAGCTTTTGCTCATTTGGCCTGGCAGAACTAATAACTCTCTCCTACTTTTACTGGCCACTTTTCCTGTCTTTATTTTAGCATTTATCTTGCTGTATTTTATTTTCTGTTTATACAAGTGATTCCATGACCCGGCTGAGGTCCCCTAGGGCACAAGACCACGCTGTCCTCAGCATCTAACACTAAGGCCTGACAAGAGCAGAAACTCTTCAAATGCCAGAGAGAAAGGACAGAGGCAGGTGAGGGAGGTTAGAGGGGAGGAGGGGGAGGAGGGGGAGAAGAGGGAGGAGAGGAAGTCAAACAAGAAGAAAGGGAGTGGAATCCACAGTGATTTGTTTTACATATAACTACAACATAAATGCAAATGAACTCCCAAATCCTTACGTTCTATAGAAGGCATGCAGAGATATAATGTAGATATAATGTAGATCTGGAACAGACCTAACAACAAAGTCAACCTGAAAACCTATAAATGTTTCTTTTTAGGTGTCATCAGAGGTTAAATTATTATTAACTATAATGTCAGCAAAATATGAATTTCTCCATACTATTCAATGTCCTCAGAGTACAAAATAGTGTAAAGATTTTTATCCCTTATTTTAAAAGAACAGGGATCTCAACAGAAAAGCAATATATTAATAAGTAAGCCTCTGCTTTTAAAGAAATAACACAAATTATGCCTCAAAAATTACAAGGTAAAAATAAATTTAAGTTGGCATTGGTCAAATGGACTTCATTTTACAGAGAAAACTCTAAGTTTTAGAAAGAAAAAAATGTCTTTCCATTTCAATTCAACTCCATTCTCCTAAGACAAACACAAACAAATACAAAATTTAGAGTTTATTACCATAAACTCTTCACAGATGACAGATTGTGTCCTTATTTTATTGATATATAAAGCTTTAAATGCAGCACAGATGTATTATTGTTCTATTTTTATGGAACAACACATTAACAATTCACATAAAGTAAAAGCTTGTGCTTGATGCTCAAAAAAAGTTAATGTTGGTAAGTATAGTTTTTGTTTTTTACAGGATGCCTAATCGATCATCACAATTTTGGGGCAGGAAGTATCCTCATTTTTACAGATGGGAAAGCTGAGGCCTAGGAAGGTTAAGAAATTTGTTGGTGCTTTGGCTGGTGTGGCTCAGTGGATTTAGTGCCAGCCTGCAAACCAAAAAGTGGCCAGGTTCAATTCCCAGTCAGGGCATGTGCCTGGGTTGTGGGCCTGGCCCCACTAGTTGCAGGTGTGCAAGAGGGAACCGACAGATGTATCTCTCACACATCGATGTTCCTCTCCCTCTAAAAATAAATAAATAAAATCTTAAAAAAAAAAAAAAAAAAAAAAAAGCCCTGGCTGATGTGGCTCCATGCATCCTGCATCCTGTCCAACGACCTATTGGGGGCATGCAAGAGGCAACCCATCAATATTCCCTGCGCACATCGATGTTTCTCTCCCTTTCCTTCTCCCTCTTTCCCCCTCTTTCTAAAAATAAATAAATAACTTTTTAAAAAGAAAGAAATTTGTTAAATGTTGCACAACTATTTCTACTCCAAATGCTGCATTTTTATACTATGAACCCGTTTTTTAGAGAAAATAAGACACATGTCTTTTAATCAGGACACAGAAAAATCTTTTACAAGATTAATTTATTTAGCATTCAATCTCCATTTCAAGCTTCAACATTTTGGCTTTAAAAAAATTGGTGGTTAAGAAAAGAATAACCTAGATTCAAGTTAACCATTGCACCTTATAATCAAGTATACTGAAAGATATAGAGCTGCCATCTATTGCTATTGCTGAAGCAGTTGTTCCATGTTCCATACTCAAAAACTGTAATAAGCATGCAGCATTTTTAAAACTAAATAAAAGGGGTTGGGGAACACAAACACCTGAAGCATCACTCAACTGAAAAGCTTCAGAGAAGCATGGAGCAGTCACATGTGAAGTGTTGACAAGACAGAGGAAAACTAAACAGAGCTGAGATGCTAATCAATTATCAGTGTTTACACTATTACTATGGCTGTAAATAATATTCACAACTGAGCCAAAAGTGTATCATTACTCTTCGTTATTTGTATGACCCTGCTTTCCTTATAGTTAATAATTGCACTGTTTTTGCATTTGCTTTAATTTTCTAGTTTATCTTCAAGCTCTTGCTGCAAGTGTTACTTTCCTATTCCTCCAGTCCCCCTCCATCAGGTTCCAACTTGGACTGCTTGTTGTCTAGGCATGGTACACAACTACAGTCACAGAATTTCCCTTTAACTTATCCTGGTAATTCCCTTGTCTCTCTTCCTAGTGGATCCCTGTTTCCCTGGTCTCACCTCCTTACTGATTTTCTCTTTTTAGTAGGGTATTTCCACCTGTAATTTCCTGAGAATGGAGTATGGGAAAGACGTTTTTTAAATTCTTACATTGTCTAAAATATCTTCACTTACCCATAAATTAAAAACTGAAATTGATTCAATATAGAATTCTAGACAAGAAAACATCTGTTGGAATATTGAAGACCTTTCCTCAATGTCCTCTGGCTTCCAGTGTTGCTGTTAGGAAGCCTAGCCACATTCTGATCCCCAGTCCTTCATGGTCACTTGTATGTCCCCCTCAAGAAGCTTACAGAAGGTTCTATTTATGTGCTCTGAAATTTTACAGTATGTCTCAGGGTTGGGTCCCCCCACCCAATTGTTTGAAATGATAATTGAGCATCTTTTAAATGTAGAGACGAATGCTTTTCAGTTCTGGGGAGTTTTCTTAGAATAATCTTCCTTAGACTTTTTTTCCTACTCTTCCTTCTTTGCCTATTATAATGCTCCTTGAGACTTACCTTCTGATAAACCCATCACAAAATAAAAATATTTTAGGTCAAAAATGCATTCAATACACCTAATCTACTTAAGATCATACCTTAGCTCAATCTACCATAAATATGCTCAGAATACAATATCCAAAAAATACTGGCAAGACAGTACACTGAAGAGTATCGATTGTTCTCCCTGGTGATGGCAGGCCTGACCAGAAGCTGTAGCTCACTGCAGCTGCCTGGGATCATAAAAAAGTATCTTAACCACATACTGCTAGCCTGGGAAAACATCAATGTATATGCCTTCAGCATCATCATAAAGTCCAAAAATCTTAAGTCAAAACAACCTAGGTGGGGAGTCATCTATATATATTTAAGATACTGATGTTCCTACATTGATTCTTTAATTTTCCTTTATATTTTTCCCCTTACATTTTATTGGCCTTGTCTTTTAGCTCTATTTTCTGAAAGATATCCTCAACTTTATCTTCTAACTCTTCTATTCAATTTTTAATTTCCATAAACTCCTTTCTTTAAGCTGTATATTTCTTTTTTCCTCTTTTCCCTACATCTTTTTCTAATTTTCCATTCTCTCTGAGGATATAAATTAGGTGTTTGACGTTATTGCTGCTCTTCTTCTGCTCCCTGCACTGTCTCTGTAACCTGAGTTCTTTTTTGTTATTTGCTTTGGTCTCTGCCTTTCCTGCTTGACATTTTCTTCAGTGAGAGAGAATCCTTGGCTGTACATTTATATCTAAGGATAAGATCCTAAAAAGATCTGTGTGAGCACAGACCAGTGAGCAGACCAGTGTACTTCATTCTAGAATAATCAGGCAAGAACCTGGCT